CAATTTTATTGCCACTTCTGTCCCTCTTCCACCTGCAGCAAATGACAAACAAGAACATGCTTTGCTGCTTCTTATTACAAGGGCCTGTGAGAGGAAGAGCAAGGCACCCACACCATCATCTGTTCGGGGGCAAACAAAGCAGAGAAAAAGAACAGTCACGGGGGACGACCGATGGATGCCATGCAGCAAGATCGCCACCAAGGGCAAAACACTGAGTTTTTCACACACCTCCACCAACCGCGCTTTCTTCAGCCAAAAGGGCAGAAACCGCCCAAGCGCCACATTTCAGTAGCCACGCTGGCAGCAGCGACTCCTTTGAGAGCTACGCCCAGCACATCCCATCAGTTGCAGCGCTCAGAGCTGCACTGGTGCTCACCCATAATGAGGGGATAAGCAAGCCTTCTGCTAGGACAGAGTGGACACGCAGGCTGCAACACCTCCAAATCACTCACCCAGCACAAGGCCACAAACACCCACCATTGCCTTCAGTAAAGAATTCAGAAGAACTACCAATAGTTAAAGCAAAAAGCTATGTAAACAAAGACAAAATAAAACCAGATTTTTCTTTCACTTTCAAGGAAACAACTCAGTAGCATTTGCAGCCTTCTGAAAAGGGGAAGAAGTAAAAGCATTAGGGTGATTTTCACAATGGTTCTATCTTCAGCATGGCACTTCCTAGCTTGCACCTTTGCTAACTACACATTCTTTTCTTAATGCTTTCTTTGTGTAAAATAGTTAGCATGTACACACAGATCCTGCTGGCAAAAGGAACCTAACCCCACCTCCTCCTATAATGTACTAGGCCAAGTTAGTATTTCTTACAGAGCAAAAGCAGCATACTGCTGGGTTTTTTTTTGCAGTTGAATCATTATGACAGAAAAACCCATACCTGCAATGTAACATGCCTCATCTAGGGCCTTTTGGCATATTATGTATACAATATCAAAGTATCACGTAATCCGTTCAGTTTTTAATTCATTGTCCTGGTTTCAGCTGGGATAGAGTTAATTTTCTTCACAGTAGCTAGCATAGTGCTGTGTTTTGGATTTAGTACTACAAGAATGTTGATAACACACTGATGTTTTTAGTTGTTGCCAAGTAGTGCTCAGACTACTCAAGGACTTTTTGAGCTTCTCCTGCTCGGCCAGGTGCATAACAAGCTGGGAGTACAGCACAGCTAGCACAGCTAACCCAAACTGACCAAAGAGCTATTCCATACCATATAACGTCATGCTCGGGGGGGTTAGTCGGTCAGTCGCGGGGAGAGTGATCACGGCTCAGGGACAGATCGCGGCTTGGGGACGGGCTGGGCATCAGTCGGCAGGTGGTGAGCAATTGCATTGTGCATCATTCGTTTGGTATATTCTGTTATCATTCTCATTATTACTATTATTATTATTTTCTCTTATTAAACTGTCTTTATCTCAGCCCTCGGCTCTAACCTTTTATTTTCTTCCCGATTCTCTCCCCCATCCCACTGAGGGAGGGGGGGAGTGAGCGAGCGGCTGCGTGGTGCTTAGTTGCCAGCTGGGTTAAACCACGACATTCATTACTGACAATTATTTGTATAATGTATTTCTACTGAATTATGTTTCCTTTTTTTTATATTGGCTTCCTCACCATGACAGAAGTGACTGCTTGTCATTAGCAGTGAGTCCTTACTCTTTTCCAGAGATGAAGACGTATATATCTCTCCATTCAGAAACCCGTACCTGAATGAGCTTACACATAGAGGAACACACGCACAAAAGGGTCATGAAAAGTAACAGCCCATCCAGAGATGTACAGAAAAAGAAAAATGCATGGCTTTTTTGCTCTACTGCAGGGCACCTTTCAGTCATCTGTCCCTTACCTAGTTACAACAGGATCAGCAGCATGGTTTGGTCCCCAGCGCCCTAACAATCCTCTGCCTGTGAGGCCAGTCCTTCCCACCGGATTTCTGAAAGAAGTGGCACAGTACATTAAACATGTTTACTTCCCCACATTCAAAATATGCTCCAAGCATTCTAAAAAACAGCTTTTAAGAAGCTTAAATAACAACAAAGGAAAGGATAGCAACATACATTAAGTGCTACCATATGCTTTAAAGAGCAAGAGACAAAGCATGGTTTTCTCCATCAACCTCTTTTTGCATTTGATAGTACAGGGAAAGGAAATATACAAAATGGCTTTGTCATTTCCCAGATCTTGTGTCCTGATACACTCCTGATTGATGTTATTTTCATTGTGCACACAACCTTGTCTGAAAATGGAATCTGGTTTCCAAGACTACAAATGCATACAGCATTCAATTATGTACAAATTGCAGAAAGAAAAGAAATTATTTTTAGGTAAGATTACCCATCTGTTCTATGCCAGGATTTGTCAGTGGAAGGAAATACTCTTCTGCTTCACCATAGCACAGAGGTGGTACAAAAGCTTCAGAGCCCAACACCTGGTCAAACTGTGGAAACAATTAATTCAACAGACCCTGCTATTAACAGAGCTAGACCTCCTCCAACTCCAGTGTCACCACAGCCCTCTGTTGTGGTAGTACTGGCTAACTTTTTAGTGCCTCTCTGCCACCACCTTCTTCCAGAAAGAACTCTCTGGCCTTGAAGTATCATTTTTCCTGTCTCTAGGGGAGACCATCTTAATTTTGTTCTAGCAGGTACCATGTATCAAAACTGATAGACCTGTAAGGGCTCTGAAACTACATCACTGAAATGAATATGCAAATGAAAAAAAAAACCACTCACCGGGGCCTCCCATTTTCAACCACATACAAGCCATTTAGACTCTTCCTCTCCACTTCTCCATCTCTCTCATTGAATTTGGGAGAAAAACCTTTATTACTGTGTGGAAAAGAATAATTTAATAGAGAGAAGTTATAAAATGCAAAACACCCCTCTGCCCCACAAAAGCTTGAAGGCCAACCACCAGATCAGCAACACCCATTTGACCAATGAGCAGTGTTTACCAGAACTTAAGTTGCAGGCCCTCCCTTTTCTATAGGAGGCTATAAAGTCTCAACCTTTACTGATGACAGTCTTCCTGTATTTAGTTCTGCAGACAGAAGTGTGCCCCCCTAAAGTATTTAACATTGCATTTCTCTAGAGCTTCATTTAGACAGAGTTCTTGTTAAGGTTAGAGAACATTGAAGGTTGTTATCCATTGATAAAACAAAAAAGATTTTGCTAGTTAAAAAAATGAGCAGATATTTTTATTAGATATGATTTATCACAGCTACAAGCTAGTAATCACCAAATTTCAAATTAGCTTAATGCAAATCTCCTGTGTGCACCTCAGCACAATCAGCAGAATACTAAACCAAATCAAGAGCAAATAGAAGCACTTGTTCACACAGCAATAGGAAACAAGGAAGGTAAGGCTGAAACCTCAAGTGCCACTATCTTCTTACCTTTCTACACAGAAATCATCATTTCACATTATCACATTACACTAGATGCATGCATCTAACTTTCTAGCCAAGAAACATACAGCACTCCTTGAGAGAAAATATTCACAAATCAATAAAAATGAATACACATATTCACAAAAATAGAATTAGTCATGCATTCAGCCTGTCACATTTCCTGAGTCAGTGCTCAACTCAAGAACTACAATTCTACTTTAATTCTTCTCATCTTGCATTCAATCCATGAACAAACAAGTATATGATGAAAATGTTCTCCCAAATTCTTAAGGGGAATTAGATTTTTACTTAGCTCAAAAGACAGAAGCACCACACAGCATCAACAGCTGTCCATTATTCCAGTTAACACCACTCTTATCTCAATCACCAACTCAGTAAAATCATGTGTCAAAGACATCCACAGCTAACCCAAACCATTCAGTCCTCTAACCACCATTTTTCTAGGTTTTGACTTTCACACATGACTGTAGAATCATGTGTCACTTAAGCTGACAGTTTTAATAACTCAGCTGATCACTATTTCCTACTTCCATGTTCACGGGAGAAAAGAGCCACAATTTTCACTCACCTGATTTGGGGATCTGCCCAGCTGGGTCCAGCCAAAACAGACTTTGCAGTGTACTCCACAGGCTTATAATCTTTCCACTCAATCAGCCAGCCCACTTTATCTTCAGGAACTTGGCTACGCTCAACATGTGATCCTGGATACGGGGAGGTGAGAGCTTTGCTATGGTAGAACTTAACATGATGACTGTTAAACATGCTAGCAGTGTGGGACCAACAGTTTGCAGACAAATTACTAAAAGAAAAAAAAAAAAAAAAAGAGCACCTCATTCATTAGGTTTTAACCCTGTTATTTAATCCCAGATCTGCATAATACATTATAGCAATAATACATTATAGCAAGAGGAACAGACTAGGCTTTTTCCACAAAAATCTCTCAGTAATATGTTACTGCTGCTTTGGTACATATGCCTGGACCAACAAATTCTGAATTTTACCATCAGCTTCTTGAAGCAGAAGAGTACTCTACTAGACACATGAAGATTTCAGAGCATGAATGAGAAGCTGAGAACTAGAACTGCTGTTCTGGACTGTGTGGAACACAGCGCAGTTATTAATCATATACAAGGAACAACTCAAAGATATTTACCATAAATGCAGCAGAAAAGTCTGCTTGAGCATTAAATTTCCATGTGGGCATTTAATCAACAAACCAACCCAGCCTTATAAGAGTCCTGCTTTCACATTCAGTGGTAGACCAGTGTCCTGGTTTTGGCTGGGATAGAGTTAATTTTCTTCCTAGTAGCTGGCATAGCACTGTGTTTTGGATTTAGGATGAGAAGAATGTTGGTAACTCACTGATGGTTAGTTGTTGCTAAACAGTGCTTACACCAGTCAAGGACTTTTTCAGCTTTCCATGCTCTGCCAGGTACCCAAGAAGCTGGGAGGGGGCACAGCCAGGGCAGCTGACCCCAACTGGCCAAAGGGCTATTCCACACCATGGGACGTCATGCTCAGCATAGGAACTGGGGGAAGTTGGCCAGGGGGCAGCAATCACTGCTCAGGGACAGGCAGGGCATTGGTGAGCAGGTGGTCAGCAACCGCATTGCGCATCACTTGTTTTCTATATTCTTTTATCATTATTAATCTCTCCTCTGCTGTTTTATGAAACTGTCTTTATCTCAAACCACAGGTTTTATTTTTTTTCCCCCCCAATTCTCTCCCCCATGGAAGGGGCGGGGGGTGAGCAGGGGTCAGTGAGCAAACAGGCTGGGTGATACTTAGTTGCCAGCTGGGGTTAAACCAACAACCAAGTTAAGAGCAAGAATGACATATCCAAAAGCATGAACAATATAGCTCTACAAGTTGCTGTGACCACAAAAATATCATTTTGTGCAATCCCAAGTAGGATAACACATACCTTCTTTTTCAATTCCAAGGAAGGCTAGAACTACCAAACTAGCTAAGTTAAATGAAAAAAAAAAATATTTGAGTCTGCTAGTGATTTTGTTTTGTTATGGGTTATCAGAAGCTGAAAGACCAATCAACAACACTTAACAGCAGATCAGGTTACCGTGCCTGATCACCAGCTCTTAAAAACCCTACACAGATTTCCTTTAACACACAAAACAGCCTTTCTGTACTCAAATTTTAACTATTACAAAAATAAAGACGATTACTCTAGATAAGAGGCTCAAAGCTGATCAGCAAGGGGCTATAACCTACAGGAGTACTTCAAAACCAAGATATTTGTAAGTTCTTAGTGAAAAGCTTTTTTTTTTTAATCAATCAAGAATCACTCCCAGCATGCAAGGAAATATCTCTTCCGCATCCAGGTTTTAACAACTTAACATCTGAGCAAGGTGATGATGGGACCAATGAATTTCAGATGAAAAAAGAAAAAAATAAACTCATACTTTAAGTGTTAACCCTGCTGTTTCAACCCAAATACAAATACTGAATTATAAGTAACAGAACAAGCCATGCTTTTTCAAAAACATCAGTTCCAGTTCTAAACTCCTCATTCATGCTATGAGATCTTAAGGTGCATCTAGGGGAGTTGGTTGTTTCACCCTGAATTTAAGAATTCATTGGTCACAGTTACAGCGTGCATCTGCTGTCATGTTCACTGCTGAGGTGACATTCCCAAGAGCACAGTTCAGCTCACGAACTACCTGAGGCTTATAAAGTCTTTAACAGAGACGGGGAAAAGGGCATACTCAGTAGAGTGCCAATCTCCACACGCACATCAATGTTAAATCACTGTTGTATTTTCCAATAACTGCATTGGTTTAAAGGACAGCCTGATTTTTTTTTTCTGCCATGGCCAAACCAGTCACGCTCGGCTACACGGCACACCCCGTGCCAAGCTCCCCCTCAGCTGGCAGGGGACTGCAAGGCAGCCCCGAGATCTTAGCCCAGCGAAGAGGCGGCTGCTCCCTCGAACACAGGGCACCACCTCAACGGGGCCAAACGCCAGACTCAGGCGGGCTCCGAGACCGAGGAGCACCCCCCGCCGGCCCTGGGCACTGCCCAGCTTCACCATCAGCAGGCCACGGTACCTGAGGGGCGGGCGGCGCTGGAGAACACACCGGACAGGTTGGGTGGACAGCGCAACAGCGAAAGAAAACACGGCGACTGCCCGAGCGAAACTGGGCACCGCTGCCGCACGCAGAGCATCGGCGAGGAGTAGCATTGACATCAGCCCCACCTCGGCAGGAGCAACGCCCGCGTCAGCTCCACAGAGCTGGGCCCGAGTGCAGGCCTGAGATGCAGGCGCTTGACCGGC